TATATATTTATTTCTGCAATAAATATGTATATATATATATATACTCATGTGTAGTAAATAATGTGCTGTAATAATATGTAGTTAAAGATGGATGCAGTAAAGAAAGCAAAAGAGCGATTTAGAAAATATCCAATTGTCATTGCACAATGCCACGAATCTGGAGCTAAATACGCTGCTTGCGTATTAGCAAAATCTAATATACAAAAAGGTGACTGCGAAAGCGAGTTTCAGGAATTTAAAGCATGTTTAATGAAAGCTGCTGCAAAAAACAATACCAAACTCTAAGTAAATATAAATTTATTTAATATTAAAAACGTGATGGTTTTTAAGAAACATATTTAAATCATTAAAAATGGATAAAGTATCATTTAATGTACATTGTATATTAGCTTTTTTATTTAGAGTAATTTTAGTTTTTTATTCAAATTTTCATGATAAAACTTATAATGTCCCATATACCGATGTGGATTATAAGGTATTCACTGATGCTGCGAGACATATAGTAGAAGGATCATCTCCATTTGAGCGAGATACATATCGCTATACACCACTATTAGCTTTGCTTTTAACACCGAATATTTTTATAAATGAAAATTTCGGGAAAATCTTATTTTCTTTTGTCGATATTTTGGTAACAGTACTGATAAAAAGGATTTTAATTTTGCAAGGCTGTAGCGAAAAATTGCAACATATCTGTGCCTTTACATGGCTTTACAATCCTTTCATACTTGTAATTTCAACCAGAGGAAATGCAGACACGGTGGCTGCCCTTTTTGTTATGCTAACTTTATATTCGTTTCTCCAAGATAAATTTATTTTAACAGGTTTACTTCATGCTTTATCGGTACATTTTAGGCTATATCCTATAGTGTTTAGTATATCCTTGTATTTTTCCCTTCGAGATAAAAATACCTTTGTACCAAATAGAAACCAGTTGAAATTGGTACTTAGTTGCGTATCGTTGATAACTTTCTTAACTGTTATTAATTATTATTTATATGGTTATAAATATCTTTACGAAAGTCTTATTTATCACGTTATACGTAAGGATACTAAACATAATTTTTCCGTTTATTTTTACATGCTATATTTATCTGCTAATCATGCGCCTAACGTAATTCAGAAAATTTTCACGTTCTTTCCGCAACTTATGTTGTTATTATTGCTGTCTTACAAATATTCGAGTAAGTCTTTATTGCCATTTGCAATGTTCACACAAGCCATGGTAATGGTTACATATAATCCAGTATTAACGTCGCAATACTTTTTTTGGTATTTGTCTCTTTTGCCCTTATGTGTTTGGCGTTTCGGATTAAGCGTTCGCAGATCACTATGTTTATGTTTTATGTGGGTCTTCAGTCAAAGTCTCTGGTTATTGACTGCTTACTTATTAGAATTTCAAGGCTCCAATACCTTCACCTACATTTGGATTTCTAGTTTAGTTTTCTTCGTTGTTAATATTAAAATTTTGAACGACATTATTGTATATTGTAAATATTAATTAGAAATTAAAAGATAGCTGTTATTATTATCGAAGTTATTATTTATGTGTAGCTCTATATAATTACAAATAAAACAAATATATATACGATTACAATTTACAGTGGTATTTTTTGAAAATAAAAGAGAATAAATTTGAAGTATAGAGAATGTAGAAATCCTATCCGAAACAATGACGAGTCTAGTGGCAGTGGTAGAAATATTAGATACGTGGATAATGATTCGTAATTTTATTCTTGCAGGAATACAAAATACTTATTTACAGATGGTTTCGTAAAGTAATAATGGTAGATTCTTAAAAGGAATGTAGATATAGTAATAATAATACAATAATAGTAAATCTTAATGTAGTAATCTAGATCAATTGTGAGCAAGAGCATCCTTTGGATCATCTTTAGAAATATTTCTGTCGTTTATTTCTAAGCTGCTAATGTGATGATATTAATATTAATGGGGACATTCCTCGTCAAATTATACGAGAATGCTTCTCACAATTTCTAACGACATCATTCAAACGATACTAACTCCATTTACAAAATATAAAAAAATATCATCGGTCAAATCACGGCCTGACTGAATGAAACTGCGGTTCACCGGTAAACATTCCAACGCGATACATTCACGATCGCGTTGGAAACTTTAAACGGAACGAAGAAAAACGAAACAGAGAAAGGAAAATCACCGAAAAGTGTGACACGAAATGGCCCAATCGACACACGGATCACGAATCAAGGAGTAACTCAAGTACAGTTCGTATAACTATAGGTCACCACGGCAGACGATGCAACATATAAAAATAGCATTATTTTCTTTCATTGCTTTCGTTTACAGTTTATTGAACTGCGTGCTATGTGAAATAATCTATTTTATTTCCTTCGACGTGAACAGACGGTCGACTTTTGTCCGAGGTCGGCTCCACCGGTCAGGACAAATGTCACTTGTAATATAAGGAAGTAATGGAAGAAGCGACGACTCTGAATCTTGCAGCGTGTTCTCCAACAAACGCACGAATCTCTATATTAGTCGGGCTAAACTCCGTGCACCGGCTGCAAGGTCCAAAAGTGACGTACTTCGTTTTAAGAGTTTACGCTGATATCGAGAAATCAATTGTCACCACGCTAGACAGAAGAAGAAGTTACATCTCTGAGAGAGTAAGGGAAACGAAGAGAACATCCCGGGCTTGCGTGACGCGAAGTACTCCTTATTATTATACCCAGAGGATCGGCGAGCAAAGCGCGCGCGTCGCTCGCTATTGTTTCCGCGCGATGGGAGCAAAAGAGTACGAAAGACGGCGCTCGCGAGAGGATATGCGTGCTCAAGTGCAAGGTCGTAAAGCAACAATATGTCTCGATGTATGCGATTGTAAGACACGCGTAGAGGGACGCGAAATCACTCGATATTGCACGCACTTGCCGGTCGACACGCGCGTATTTCTCCGGTGAAACGATGGAACTTTGCAGCGCGTCCGGACCACTCGTTTCTTTCGTATTATCGTTGTACCTTCTTTCGCCATCTTTTTCTTTCGCGCCATTCTTTCTTGCACCGCTCGTTCCTTTTCCCTTTCGGCTAGACCTTTGCTAAAAGAAATTAAAGGACATGCGGTGCGCAACGTAAAAAGCTCGTGGGAACAGGTTCCGGAGATCGAACGGAGACACGGGGAAGGACAGGTGAAAAGGACGTTACAGCTGGAAAAGGGTAGCGATGCAGACGGGAAACAAGGTGGCATTGGAATGAATGGGCGAAAACGTGAGACTACGGGAGCTGTTATATGGCAAAGATTTAATAAAATATGATAACAGCAGTGATACACATTACACTCTACGAGAAGTATAAAATAAACGGCACTGGCTGCTTAATGATTAGCGTGTAAATCAATTAACTATAAATAATTATAATAATAATAAAAAATCGTTGTTATAATGATGTCTGATGGATGATTAATCGCGTAAACAAAATGTACACCTTACAAGTACAAAAGATTGCGCCGATCGATCACGATGATTACGATAGTAGACGATAGGTACTTATCTAAAAGAAAAAACATCTCTCTCTCTCTCTCTCTCTCTCTCTCTTTCTCTCTCTATATATATATGTATAAGAATATATACTTATATCTTAATAATAATAATTAATAAAAAGATGAGAAAGAATAATTAAAGCACTCGGTGTAACGCATGGATAAATGCATTCATCAAATTTATACGACATAAACTCAATTAATATACACAACATTAAAATAAACATCTCTTTGGTCTTGTCGTTTCTTTTCTTTTTTCTTTCCGTCTCGTATCCGCGCTTTTAAGAAAGAAAGAAAAGGAACGTGTCCCGTCTCGTAAAATTTAGTCCTCCGGGCAGGAAAAAGAAACGAAAAGAAATGAAAAAAGACAGAGAACGAAAAAAAAAAAAAAAAGAAGAGGAAAGGATCGCGCGAAATTCGATGAAAGGGTGGGTGGGTGGTACTTACGAGGGCGATGGGAGGCGGGTGGGGTCTGAGCGGAAAGCACAACGATTCGAATGTGAGTTTTATCGAGCACGTGTACACCAGTGATAAGGACACGCGTTAATATCTATCGACTGCCGCGACGCGGAAAACATCGAAAATTTCCAAGCTTCCTCTCGTTTTCCTTTTTTGCTCTTTCTTCCTTTGTACTTACATATCCTTACGGTTATACCTATATCGCGAATGCGTGTACGTGTCTCGCGAAGTGATCGAAGGGGAATGAAAAAATGTGACAGACGTTAGCTAAACTCGGAATAAAAGGTTTTCATTGGCACACTGTCGATATCGAAGAGTAAGACTCGGTAGCATTTTCGCGTTTTTAACGTTTTACATTCCTCGATTCCAGAGGAAAAAATCTCTGTCTATCTCTCTCGCTCCCTTTCATTCTAAAACGCTCTCACTCTCTTTATCTTTCTCTCTCTCTCTCTCTCTTTCGCTCACTCTTTCTCTCTCTCTCTCTCTTTCTCTCCCTGTTTTCACTAAAATTTCTCGCTAAACGGAAGATCTTGTGCGAACAAATGCGTGGTTTATCCCGTGGGCTTCGCTTCCGGCGCCCGATCTTTTACGCTACAGGTACATGCGAGGAATTTATGATCGAGTTGCGATCGAACCAATACGGAGGTTAACGACCAAAGTTTCGTGATTTTCGAAGCATTACGTTCGTTCGCGCGCGATTTATCCCAATTTCTTCCCTTTGTTTCTTTTCTTTTCTTTTACAAGCGAGTTCGCGGAAAGTTCGTGTCGTTTCTGACAAATTCACCTGGCTCGCGTTGGAACGCGCGGAGAGGGACGCGACTAGCCGTGGATACAGGGACAACGATTCAGTTTTGTGCATCGGGAATCTTCGTATGGCGTGTCCTGTCACCTCGAAAAGGCCGCTCGATCGCGAGAACCGGAGCTACGAAGTTCACCATGGCGGCCGAAATGCCGATTTCCGTGTCGCGTTTCTCAGGGGATGGGAAATTGTCGGTCGGGCAGCGCGATAGAAATTGATCGACGATCTGATCGTGAACAAAAAGGCCAGAAACGGCGACCCTCTTCTTCCTTCTCTTCGCTCTTTTCGTAAGGAGATCTCGAAAAAGTGTCTAGCTAAATGTTCGTTAGGCTATTATGATACAAAGTAATGTACACTAAAAAGGATGATTCGCTGTTCGTAGTCAAATCTCTATAGTGTTCGAAATATTTACACGTGTATCTTCTTCACCCTCCCTTTTCGAATTATCCTATATACCACTTGGCGCACTTCTGTTCGTTTCGTCAAAGGATCATCGATATTGACCGATTCGCTGACGAGGTGTCAGCGTACCGAGTATCGGCTGCAAGGCGTGCGTTCGTGACGTTAGTTTCGTCCCTTTCTTCTTTATTTCTTTTTTCTTTTTTTTTTTTTTTTTTTTTTTTTTACGAATACCGGTCTACTTTCGATCGTGGTGGTCGGTCGGTGAGCCGATTTGCTGCGAAAAGTCGATCGAGTTTAAAAAAGGGGTTGCGGTCGAACGGTGTGTCGGGTTACCGGAACGCGTGTAAACGGATCGATGATAACTCGTTATCAAACGGGTGGGTGGATGGATGTCGGGGTGTGATGGATATTCGGCGGAATAGTATTTCGGCGAACTTCATTCGCGGCGCAGTTCGGCTCGCGAAGTTTGCCAATTCGATGCGCGATAGCGACCGGGATAGCGTATACGGGCTCGCAACAAAAGTTCTTGCATTTAATCGCGTTACGGCAGTTTCCTTCGAGTTCCACTGTATTTCTTTCAGATCGAGTTACCCTTCGTTCGGCTAATTTACTTTTCCGTCCGACACGGTGTTTCCGCCACGCGACTCCTCGCGTTGCTCCGCGTTACGCGCGTAGTTACCGTTACCCGATTTTCCCTCCTTTTTCCGTCGTTATCCCGCCGATAATCCCGCTTCCCGCAATTAGCGCACGCGTTATCACGGTAATTGGCCATTGTGTCCGCGTACGCTACGCGAGTCTTCGCCTCGAAGCGTTATTTTCCCGCCGAGATGTTCGAACCTTCGCTCGGCTTCGTCGATCAGTCGGCCAGCGTTACAAGAACCTCGTTGGACCTCCGTACGTGATTGAAATTCCATTGTGCGCGGTTTAATTATACGCGTGTTTATGCACGCGTGTAACGAAAGTTCGCTCGGAACGAGAACGGGACTCGTGCTAAGCCGAGGAAAACGAGGGCTACCGTTTGAAAAATGAAGCAAGCCAGAGGGGCAGGGGGGAGGGGAAAAAGGAACGGACGACAGAAAAATAATGGTAATAACGTGTTTGTCGTAACATGATCTTTCTACAGATATCGCGAACGTTCCTAATTATGACCACGGCCTATTCCGTCGCGTCCTTTTTTCCCTTTTCCCCGTGTCGTATGAGAGAGATTGTTCTAAACCGAGTCACGCGACTCGTGCACCGACCTCCTCGTACGCGAATTTGCCATGCATCGCGATCGTTCGATACGATTTCAACGAGCAGTCGATTACAGTCTTTACTTTCTGTTTTGTTCGTTCGTTTCGTTTAACGGTAACAGTCTAT